TGGTGTATAAACATGTTAACAGGGAGGAGCCCTCACAAATAGCCCAGGCTCTCAGTTGACATCTCCCAAAGATAACATTATAGGGGTAAACCCCAAGAGAAATAAACCAGACTCCCCAAAGGACTGAAATCCATCCTTGGCTGAATCAAAGTAATCTTTTTATACTCGATCTGCCTGAGAAGAAAATCAAATCTCCTCTTGAGGAAGATAGTATTACCCAAAGCCACATAATTTTTGATGCACGCTGTGCGGAATTCGGTGAAAATGACCAGGCATTCCAGGTAACAGAAAAACCAATTAAACACCAAGAGAACAACATAGAATAGACTATAGAGATTCACAGGTAATCAGATATTGGAGTTATCAAACACAGGATTTAAAATAACCATGACTGTCCTGTGTAATAAGATGGAAGAAAATATAAAGAACTTCGTAGAGAACAAAAATGCATAAAAAGAATAAAATAAAAACCCTAGCACTAAAAATTAAAATAACTGAAATTAAAAGTCTTATAGATTTATTTAAAAGCAGATCAAACATAGCAGAAAAGACTACAAGTATAAGATAGGCATAGTAGAAAACATCCAGATTACACACGGGAAGAAAAAAGAATAGAAAATGCAGAAAAGAGCGAAGGAGACATGGCACATCATGAAGACATCTGATATATGTTTGACTGTCCCAGAGAAAGAAGAGAAAATGGAATAGAAGCAATTTTTAAAGAGATAGTATCTATTTTCCAAAACAGACATCAAGTTGTATATTCAAGGTGTGTGAACCCTAACATTAATTAGGATTCATTAAGGTTAAGATTAATTAGGATTAATACATGGAAAACTATACCTAGGAATGTCATTTGAAAACAATTGAAAGACAAAAACAAAGAGAAAAATGTTAAAGCAGCCAAAAGGAAAAATGGATTACCTGCAAAGGATAATAATAGTAATTACAGATAACTTTTTAACTCAGACAATGAAAGCCAAAATGGGTGACATCTTTATAGCCCTGAAAGACAACATCTGGCTATCTAAAATTGTGTGCCCAGTGAAAATATCCTTCAAGCATGAAGGCAGAACAAAGACGTTTTCAGATGAATCTGTCTGGGTTAGGAAAACAGAGACACTCCAAATACTCTGTGAAATAAAAAGTTTTAATATAGGACTTGAGGCTTATATAAGTGTGGGAAGAGAAGGGGTGGGGCAGCTGGAGAAACAGAGTCACCAGCCACTGTAGCCAGAATTGGTGGAGTGGGCAGGAAAACAAACAAACATTGAAAGCAAAACTAAACAACATAAGCAAATAAAATACTTCTATAAAACAAAGCTGGAGGACTTGACATAATATCGAGACTTATAAAGCTAGATTACACAAGGGAAGACAAATCATTCAATAGAATTGTAAATAGACAGTCTAGAAACAGACCCACCCATACATAGAAAACTTTAAAGATCTCAGCTCTGTTCATGGCTAGAATAAAGGAAATAGAAATTTTACAAATATTTTCATGGTCTCTGTGAAACACATAGAACCTTGAGGTGGAACGACAGACACCAGTGTCCCCAGTGATATTTTCATTACTTAGCCCTGTGTGTTCATATAGGCTGGAACTGGCCAGGGCATTAGTCCCAACATTCCAAGCCACTTACCTCCATTCCAGGGTCAAAATAAGTATACTGGGGACTCTATGGCCTTACAAAGATGGTTCAATTCCACCAGAGAGAGCACTGCAAGATCTCTGAAAATATAAATTTTAGATGGCTGTTGACTTATCTTGAAAATGGTCCATTCTTCTAGGTGGTTAAAAGGTTGGTTTGGAGTGTAAATACATCTGAAATGTATGCTTAGAGAGACTCTTACCTAATTCACAGATGACTGAAGGAGACATCTTAGTGGGGAAAAGGAGAAACAACCCAGTGAACAATCTCTAACAATGATGCTTTTCTAGAGAAAATCACGTGGCTCTCCTTCACGTGGGCCTCTGCAATTTCAGCCCTGATCCCTGGGCCAGTATTCCCCCACTTAATGCCATAGTGTCATAGCTAATGTTCCTGCAGCAAGAATGGTTCTGTTTTCAAGATGTCACTTTTAGTGCCCAAATAAAGCCCCTGAGGCCTCTCCATCAACACTTTTGGGGTTTGATGTGCTGCCTTCATGGTTTCGCTGGGAGGTAGTTATGTGGCCAGTGACCACTGGGGGAATTTTGACATTACCTGGCACTGAGCTCTGCTCTGTGGGAGGAAAGAGCACCCTTGACAGTTGGAAAAGCCAAAAGATGGGGCCAGAAGGAAACTTCATTGAGCACCTAGTGTGTATCAAGTGCTTAATGTTTCATATTTATGTCTTCATTTGATTTCTACAATTCTGTAAAGCAAGGTTTACACTTTCCATTTTGCAAAAGAACTTGAGGCACAGAGGGGCTGAGCAATGTGTCCAAGGTTGTCCAGCCAGCTGAAGGGTGTAAGATGTCACTAGAGTCCAGGGAGCCTGCCTCAACTGGCCTCCCAAAGAGAAGGGAAGGCAAGAGGCCAAAGAGAGAGAGTGCTGTCTACACAGCTTGGAGTAAAGCGGGGTCTCTCTCACTAAGTTCTCTCCCAAAACTGGGTGTACTTTTATACCATGTCCTTCACCAGGCTGCTTTCTTTCCTGCCTCTGAGTCTTTGTCATGGAATTCTGCCACGTGGTACAACTTCCCCTCACAGCATTAAGGTAGAAAAGGTTATACTATTTACCCTATGCTAGTGTCTGTACCAGAATACAGAAATAAACAACAAAGGGCACATCCCTGTCCTCAATCAGTGCTTCTTAAACCACCAACTTTCCATCCATGCTTCTGGGTCTTTCCCTAGAAAGTCTTCCCCAGATGCTCCTGCTCTTGTGACTTCTTCCCTCTCCTACTTCCTATGACCCTGGGAGTTGGATCCTTGCAGTGTGGCAGCCAACGAGGCATGGCTGAAGGGCTTTTAAGTTGTGCTCACAAAAGGAAGTGTGGCATAGAGATGAAACAAGCAGGCTACGGAGATGAACAGCCTGGGTTCAAATCCAGGCTCCAGATATGCTAGCATGTTGTGCTTCAGTTTACCCACCCGTAAGATGAAGATGTAGCAGTGCCTCCCTCCTATGACTGTTGGAAATAGTAAGTTTATGGACATCTGTCAATTGCTTATATTGGTGTCTAACATTCAGTGAACACAAGACACGTCTCAATAGTGTGTTCCCTGGGCAGCACTGGGTGCAGAAGACGGAAGCCTTGAAGGGTTCGTCCATACCTCCATGTCAGTTAATGAATATCTTTAGACCACTGACTACTTTGGTTTCAATCAAATGCCACTTTCTCAGAAGAGATGACAGGGAGGGATCTTTCAGTTGCAGTTTTCTTTAATCAAGAAGGATGATTGTGGCGACATTGCAGCCTTGGGCTTAAATCCAGCTTCGCCACTGAGTAGTCCACTTTGTCACCATCAGGGGCCAGCTGCCCCTTCGTGTGCACCATAGAGACTTTCCCGGGCATATTCTTGACCAGTCCTTGCTGACCAGTCCTTGAAAAGTCCTTGCTGTTGTCATACAGTACATATTTCACTTACTTGTTTTGTTTACTGCTGGGTTTCCTCTGCTAGAATGTAAGCCCCATGTAGGCAGGACCTATCATCTGTTTTGTTCACTGCTGCATTCCCAGTGCCTGGCATAGGAGGTGTTTAATAAATCTACACTGAAGCAGTGGATGCATGTGTTCTGATAGCCCTGCATGCAGCATGGTCGGTGGTCGAGTGGACCGCATGTTGCCAACCTGGCTGGCCCTTACCCTGGCTTCACCCTACTCATTCTTATCTATGCCCAATTGACAGATGACTTCCCCATTACTACTTAGTCCATATCCACATCTGCCCACAGGCCTGCAGCTACTCTCCACTGTCTACAAGACCAGGCTCACACCCACTCCACGGGGACCTAAAGCCTCCAGACTTTTATCTCTGAACACCTCTCTAACACTGCCTTCCACCATGATCCTACCTGAACTTTCCATGGCTGCAAAGCTGGTTTTCTCTCATTTTACTGGAACATACCTTTTCCTCTCTTTACCCATTGCTTTTGCCGATCACATCTCTCCTCTGGCCTCTCCCAGACTGTCCTACCCTTTTCTCTTTATTTAAAGCTTACCTGGTCTTCAGGATCTGAGCCTCACCTCCTTGGAGTAGGGTCAGGAGTTTCCACCACTGTAGCACTTTTTGGGAGGGCTCCTTCCTAGATACACACCACCTATATCCTACCCTCCGGTGTGTCTGGGCACGGAGTTCATTGTAGTGATGGGTATTATCATCCAAGTGGTACACACAGGCAGCTGGGCATCTCTTTCTGCTTCCCAACTAGTTTCAAATGAATGTCTCTTGGAGGGGCACACATGGGGGAGTAGGACTTTCGATCTCTAATGGAGGCTCCATCGCAACTGAATATGGCCCCCAATTCACCCCGCTGACCCTGCCCGATGTCCGTCATCCCTCCCGGCCATGTTTGCCTTCCTGCTTTCTTTGGTCTTTGTGTTGCCCTGGGCTCTGATGCTCTGTTCTTGCTGCTTGAACTCGACCTCCCTCCAGGTTGACCCATGATTACGCTGGCCCATCCACACACCTGGTTTTCTACATGGGGTGTAGTTTGGAGCCCTGACACAGGTCCAACCTCCTCTTGAGGGGATCTAGCCCCTGATGTCTGGGCAATGACATTTTAGGACAACCTCTCTTGTCTGTACAGCACATATTGGCCGTTATGAAGGGAGAAACTTACTTACTCCTGCTGATGCCCTCTGTGTTTTTCACTATGACCCTTACCCAAAGGACGCGCAGCAAGTATCTACAATGGCGGCAGCAGCGGTTGACGTCTCCTGGGAGGCCATAACACGAGGGTTGTTCTCATTTTCAACTTTCTGAGCACAGTTAACACCAGATTTGGGACAATTGTGAGTGAGTGGCTAGAAGCTGGCCCTCCCTTGTAAGCATTGCTCTTTAGTGTTCACAGAACCCAAGGTCAACTTTATTAGAATCTTGGCACACTGATTAACTGGTCCACATAGCAGCCCCAGGATGCAGGCTGGTGCTGCCCTATCTGTTTGGTCTAGGGCGAGATAAGATAACCCCTGGCCTCCCACCACGGTTACCCTGCAACTGGGTTGACAACTTTTCCCAGGAAGAGTAAGCTCTGGGTGGTCACCTCCCAAAGGAGCAAGAGGAAAGGCCTGTTGAAGTGGGCATGTGGGTCTGACATGGTGTTCAGAGATGGGGGCTGGGAGAGGAGGCCTGAAGCAGCTCCGGCCTCGGTCCCCTTCTCACTCATGTCCACCATCGCCTTGTGTGACACCTAGAGGACAAGAGGGGATGAAGACAGCATCAGTTCGGGGGCCTTCAAGGAGAAGACACTGCGCATCTCAAGGGTTTACACCGACATCACCCATCACTCTTTAATGGGGAGACGAAAGGGCCTGAACTAGAGTGCTGCTAAGCAGGTACCAGGTTGCAAAACCCAAAAACAACTTTTAGGAGCATCTCTCCAGCCTCTGGGTGTACCTGTGGCACAGGCCTTATTGTCATTTTCTGCTACAAGCTCCACATAGTCTCTCTAAGTCTCGGTTTCTCATCTATAAAATGGCTCACTCAGCTTAAATCAATGATGTTCAGAAAGTGCTCTGCATGTCTGATGTGCCAAGCCTTCTGCCAACCTCTGTGCCAAAAACTTCCCTTTTTTTAGTCTCATTTTAACACTACTTCCTAGGAAGAAAGGATTTTGAGGCTTTGAAAAAAGTGGATAAAACATTGGCCTTGATGATCCCTTTCAATTAACTAAAAAGCGATATTAAAAGATAGATCTAGCATTTAAGGTCAGTGTGAAAAAAATTCTTTTTTTTTTTTTTCTTTAAAAAGCTAGGCCGGGTGCGGTGGCTCACGCCTGTAATCCCAGCACTTTGGGAGGCCGAGGTGGGTGGATCACCTGAGGTCAGGAGTTCGAGACAAGCCTGGCCAATATGGTGAAACCTCATCTCTACTAAAAATGCAAAAAACTAGCCAGGCATGGTTGCGGACTATAATTGTAGCTACTTGGGAGACTGAGGCAGGAGAATCGCTTGAACCCAGGAGATGGAGGTTGCAATGAGCTGAGATTGCACCATTGCACTCAGCCTGGGCGACAAGAGTGAAACTCTCTCTCAGAAAAAGAAAAAAAAAAAGCTAAACTACTTCTTTTCCCTTTTTGTTAACTCCCCAACGTACACACACACACATGCACACACATGCAAATATGCACGCACACATATGCACGCATGCACACGTACGCACACACACGTGTATGTGCACACAAGACTGTGTCTCCATTGCCTTGGGTGCACATTCACCCCCTCAGCTGACCTTTCCCAAATAAAAGACAGAATAACTTCCTTATGAAGTTTCTAATGAAGACTCAAATGGTAATGGACAAGTCTATCCTAAAACGAAGTGGACAGCTGAAGCTCAGGGAAAGGCCTTTGTGTCTTCTCTTCCATGACGAATGCATTGTTATTCCCAAATATGCACTCTGTCTTCCCATTGGAGGGTTATCGGTCCTTGACAGTTCCACAAGACCGGCAGTGCTGCCTGCAGGGGGAGATGATCTGGACTGTGGGACTTGCTTCAACTGATGGCACGTGAGTGGCCATGGCACAGGCTGTGTGGGGGACAAGTGTTTAGAGCCATGTGCACATCTTCTTTTGCTTTCCTCCCCTGGTATGAAAATGGTTTGCCCCAAACAGGGGCTTCTTTAACCTACTTCCTGGAAGGGAGATGCGTGCAGCAGCCCTGTGGCTGATGGTAGTGACCTGCTTCTGACAGGTAATATGACCAGGAAATAAGCATTTGTTACAGTAAGGCACTGTAACAAAACAACTGGGATTGTTTTGTTACTGCAGCAAAGCTGACTGATGCACCTCTAGTTCATACCTCACTACCCTCTAGAGCTACAACAAAGGCAGGTAGAGTTTCACTGCTGTCCTGGAAAGAGGTATCAGGAATCAAAATAAAGCTATCCAACACCTGGGGAAATTCTGGCTGCATGGTTGACCCCAAACGACCATCAGTTCTATTTAGAACCCTGTATTCCTGTCCTGAAGAATAGAAGGAACCTAAGGAAGGGGAGATAGAGAAGGAGAAGCCTATGAAAAGAAGCCTTAAAGACTGTGGTATTAAATAGTCTACATAGGACAAAGAACAGAGAACTTGACTTTTAAATGTCCCACATGCCAAAGGAGAAACCTCCTCCCTGCCCCCACCTGCCCACACACATCCATATTCACCACCTTACCCTGGAGATGGTTTTGTTGAGCTGCCCAGTGACTCCTGAGAAGTCAGCTTCTAAGTTGAGTATGTCGGTGAGACCAATTTGGGGAAGTATGTCTTCCAGGTTATACGTTCCAGAAATTGAAAATCTTGGCAAGTGCAAATCCAACAGACTGGAGAGAGAAACACACAGAGAAATGGTGCTCTCTTGTTATATGTGCCACTCTTGCTCTGTATGTTGGCAGCCTGAGCCGTGGGGGAGAGAGGCATTTCCCAGCACGAGAGGCAACCAGTCTTCCCATGACACTGTTCACTATGGAGGACTATTCCACTACCCATACCAACAGCTCCCTTCTCTTTGGACCTCCTGGAATATCTTGTGGTTGGATCTGAGAAGACTCCAGGCACAGCTACATGTCTTTGTCATCTTCATCACATTTATAGAGGGCTTTCTAGGTGTCAGATATTGGCTATGTTTTTTCAAGTCTGAACTGATGGAATCCACATCATGACCACATGAAGTAAATACTGTCAACATCTTCCCACTTCCATATCTGATACATCAGCAAGTTCTGTTGGCTCAGCTTCTGAATAGGTCCTAAATCCACCTCCTGGCATCCCCTAATACAAGCAGCCATCGTCTCTCACCCGTCTCCGCTTCAGGTTCCTCATGTTTGTTAAATGGCATAGTGACGCCATTTATATATATATATATTTCATTTTGTATTGCAGCACAGTCTTGCTATATTGCCCAAGCTAGTCTCAAACTCCTGGCCTCAAGTAATCCTCCCACCTTGGCCTCCCAAACCACTGGGATTATAGGTCTGAGCTGCTGCACCCAGCCATGATTATTTTTCACTGTCTTTGATCTGATTTTTTGGCTGCACTTAACCACCTTCTGGTAGTGAATTGTTAAGTGGGGGTGCGGTGGTGAGAGGAAAGCAAGAGGAAAGGAGATGGGGACCAGACAGACACCAGGAAAGTATAATAACAGTCAATGCCTGGTGAGCACTTCTTATGCTCCACATACCAGTCTGAGTTCTATGTTCTCTATGGGTAGAAACTCAATGAATCCACTGAGCAACCCAATGAGGCAGGTATCATGTCCTGTTTTACAGTAAAGGCCCAAAAAAGGTGAGAAAATTGTCAAGATCACACAGTTAGTAAAGGACAAGATGGTGAGCCTAATCGAGATGTTGGGCTTTCGCAGCTGGAGTTGATCAAGACCTACTGGGGTTCTTGAGCAAGGTCAGCTAGCATCCTTCTGCTGTGACACTTACCTGGGCAGGAGCAATTGGCCCCATTTTCTCAGGGTCTCTGGCTGCAGAGCGGCCTCCACCTGCTTCATTTTTCCCGGGTCAGGGAGGACCAGAAGCACCAGGGCATTTCCTCTGTATTCTATCTGGAGGACGGTGCAAGCCAACTCCTGGTCATAGAGGAATCTGTGCATTTCCTTTTGGTGCATCATGGGGACCTGGAGAGAGGTCCTGTCGTCCACAAAGAAACTTTCCTGCTTCTGGGTCTGGTAGCGACTGAAAGGGTGCTTCCACTTGGCTTAGGACACAAATCCCATAAGGCCATGAGAACTCTTTTCAAGAGATCACCTCTGGGTATATACACACACAAAACCACACTTCCTCTTGGCTATGCAAGTATATGGCAAAAAAGTGGAATAGATACAGAGCCAGGAGACCAGAATTTAGGCCTGAGTCAGGCCTCTAGGACAAGTCACCAGTGTTTGAGCCCTAACAGCCTATGATTTTGTTCCATTTCAGAGGAACTTAGCTTCTAAGAAGCTGAACGGTATTTTTCCGTCTACTAAGCACCTTCCATGTGCTAGACATTATCTCTTTAAATTATCATAAAAATTAATAAGAAATAAGTATTATTATTCCTATATAAGGGATGATCAAACTGAGTCTTTGTGAATGTATTTAAACATACTGATTTGCAGAGCTGGGAGGACTGACTGTGCAGCTCAGGTTGCTTTTGCACACACTGAATTAATTCCTCTCAACCAAACTGCCTCTGGACAACAACCTTCTACAGAGATGCTCTAGAACTCCTTCCTTCACCCACCCACCCCAAATCCCTAATCTTCAAACTGAAAAAGGAAAAAGAATTCAATTAATAAAACGTCTTACATTAGGCAAAAGCCCATTAAGATGTAGTTAGAAATGCAGAATTTTGGGGTCATGGTTACATTCACATGTGTAGTATCTTCTCTCTTACTTCTTATAAATCTGTCCCCACAAACACCCCTTGCAAGCACTGGTCTTGATAACAAGAGAACTGGATCATCCTGTCCTACATACCCACACCCAATCAATGACCAAGTATTGCTGATTCAGCCTCCAAAACCGCAACATTATTCAAGCCCACCATTCTACTTACTTTGGACCACTTTGAAAACCTCCCAACTTGTCTCTCCTTTCTCACCCTTTCTCCCTTCCAAACCACCTTCCAAATTGTAGCCAGTCTGATCTTCCTAAAAATGTGTAATCTTATCACTTCACACTTAAAACTCTTTGGCAATTCTAAGGTTCCCTGAATAAAGTTGGGAACCCTCAACGTGGCTCTGTTTCCCTCTACATTGCAACTCTTGGCTCCTTGCTATTATTCTGCTATTGTGTTTGATGTTCTATCCCAATTAAATTTGTTTCAGTTCTTTGAAAATGCAACAATATCTCTTTTCCCTAGACCTTTAGATATGCTGGGTTTTTGCAACCTGAACCCTGTTTGCCCCACCTCTCCCAAGCTTCTTCACCTGAATGGATAAAACTCACTGTCATGTCTTAGCTTGGGTGGCTGTTTTTCCAGGAAGCTTCTCAAGTCTGGATGGGTGTCTCTTTTGGGAACTCTGTGGGACCCAATGCCTACGCAAGGAGAACATCACCATCCCACTGAGTTATTTTGCTTGCGTCTGTACTTATTTCCAACCCACATGGACTGTGGCCACGCAAGGGTGGGAAAGCTCTATCTTATTCATAGATTTTCCCAAGTGGTTAGCAAAGAACCTGTTATCTGGCTCTCTGCTGTAAGAGCATTTACTTGCAGAGGCAGTGGCAATAATTCTGTCTGAGCAAGCCTCACCTTTGAAGAAGATGTAATTGGCAAGAACCATGAGTGTGTCCTGGCTGAACTCTGGGAGGCAGTCCACGACTTGCCCGTATGTTTGCCTTCTCACATAGTCATTAATCTGCCTCCCAGTTGTAACAGAATCTGTGAAGTTGGCAGAAAAGGCAAAAGCTCCATAAAGCTCCTTGATGCTGTCCAAATAGTGCTGCCGAGGCTTTAGTCGCTTGTCTAGGAACAGGGAGTTTCCTACTTTTAGTTCGAGTTTGGGGCTGGGCAGGGCAAGGGTGTGGAGGAGGCTCCGGAAGCCCTGGTGGATGTTGGCTTCTGGGGTTTCTGTGAGGTTGAATCCTAGGCCCTCCAGGATCAGAGCTGAGGTGTCAGCTTGGGCCCCAAGAGAGAGCAGGGCCAGTGTGGTAGAGATGCTCACCGGCGAGAAGAAGATGTTTCCAGGGTCGTCTGCTGCCAGCTCTTTGTACAAACGCAAAGCAAACTTGGTAATGGTGGGTGTGATTCTGCGGTAGGCGGGGGCTGGCTCTGAGAGCTGATGCCCAGGGGGTTGAGGCCCCTGCAGACTTTTATCTCCATGGGCAGGAAGGGATTGACAGTGGACAGAGGCCAGGATCCCTGTTCCCAGTAGCCAAAGCCAAGCTGGCCCCATTCTCTGAAAACAAGAGGGTGAACATGTCACTTTTCTCCATAAATAATGTCACAATTCTCTATTGCTCATATCACAAATCCCATCTTCACAATGTGCCCACAGGGCTGCCATGAGGGGCACTAAAGAAGATAAGGCAGTGGACAATTAGGATTCTGGACACTTTCTTCTAAGGCTTCAGTGAAGGTAGCAACCCTTTATCTGCTTTACATATAGGTTTCTAAGATTTTGTTGAGTAAAAGTCTCTGGGCTATAAAACAACAAAAACAACAACAACGGCAACTCCTGGCCAGGCATGGTGGCTCACACTTGTAATCTCAGCAGTTTGGGAGGCTGAGGTGGGAGGATCGCTTGAGCCCAGGAGTTTGAGACCAGGCAGGGCAACATATGGAGACCCCTATCTCCAAAAGTTTTTAAAAATTAGCTGGGTGTGGTGGAATGTGCCTGCAGTCCCAGTTACTCTGGAAGTTGAGGTGTGAGAATCACTTGGGCCCAGAGGGTGGAGGCTGCAGTGAGTCGTGATTGCACCACTGCGCTCCAGCCTGGACAACAGAGTGAGAATCTGTTTTAAAAACAACCACCACCACCACAGCAAAACAACTTTCATAGTCTAGCCTTCCTCCCTCTCTTCCTTCCTTCCTTCCTTCCTTCCTTCCTTCCTTCCTTCCTTCCTTCCTTCCTTCCTTCCTTCCTTCTTTCTTTATTTTTTCTTTCTTCTTTCCAGTCATTCTTTCAATCATTCATTAACTTTCAAGCATCTGCCTGGTCCAAGAAGTGCACTAGGTCCTCATTATTTAGTGGGGGAAAGAAGTAAACAAAATTTCAGATTTCCTAGAGTTTAGGGTTTAACTGACACTAGCTTAGGTGACACTCAATAGCTAAATATGCAAATATATATGTGATGACAAATTGAGAAGAACATGCTTGGAGCAAATGTCCTGGCCACGCTGCCAGTGATGTTAGGCCTCCCTCACATCCAGCAAGGCTATTGACTATGATCCTGCCCATTGGAAAGGAAAGGATGATGTGCAAAGCCTCGGTCAGACCTCAAGAGAAAGAAGAGTGCCCTCCCCCTTTCCAGTCGTTCATTAGCTGGAGTGGGGATGTGAGGATCAACCATCTGGACGTGTGGATGAGGACAGCCCAGGAGTGGGTAGCAAAGTAGCAGGATTGATGGAGCCTAGAGGAGTGACGAGAGACAGGAACTCTGTCTCCATGTCTCTGTCCAGCCTCTAATATCTGGGAAGCCTCTTGTCACATGCAGAGGCTGAAACCTCTATTTTTTTTATTGCTGCAGAGCTGTGGGGATGATATCTGTTATGGGCTGAATTTTTTCTGCCCAAAATTCATATGCTGAAGTCTAGACACCTAGTATCTCCAGATTTGATCTTGTTTGGAAATAGGGTCATCGGAGATGTAATCGGTTAAGATGAGGTCATTCGAGCAGGCTCCTAATCCAATAGGACTGATGTCCTTACAAGAAGGAGAAATTTGGACACAGACAGCACACAGGGAGAATGCCGTGTGAAGATGAAGGCAGAGATCAGGGTGGTGCTTCTACAAGCCAAGGAACGTGAAAGATGGCCAGCAAACTGGGAGAGAGGCAAAGCTAGGAAAGGGGCCTGGAGCAGATTCTCCCTCACAGCCTCAGAAGGTACCAACCCTGCCACCTCCCTGATCTTGGACCTCCAGAACTGTGAGCCAAAAATGTCTGTTGCTTAAGCTGCCCGGCATGTAGTATTTATTAAGATAGCCGTTGCAAACAAATGTGATATCTCTTGTGCTTTAAGTTATAAAATGTGCCAGAAGAGCCTTTAGTCCAATTCCAGGGGATCAAAGTGGTACAGGAGCAGGAAGACCCCTTGTTCTAGGGCGGGGAATGCAGCCAGAGCTGGAGGGGAAACTGCAGTACAAACAGTGTTGTCTCTGCTCACCCTGCCCAGTGTTCCATGCTCTCCTTTCCCTTTCAGTCCCATCCCCCCACCCACCCTACACACATCCTCAGGTTCTTGTAAAAGACTCATGACCACATTGCTACTGGGACGCTCCCAAACCTTGATGTTCTCAGTAAGGAAGGCAGCCTTCTCTTCTCCCTTCCAATCCAACTCTTCCACTTCTCCATTCATTGCACAGCAGCTGTGCACTGCTGACCACCTCTATCACTCCTCATTAGTTTGTCCTGATAACATTTGTGTCTTAACTGGCACTTTAATATTCTTTTTTGCCCAAACCAATGACTTCTGGATCAACTGCAAATGCTGTGACAGTGCAAGAGAGGTTATATTTTTGCAAATGGTTTGTAGCCCCTGGTGCCCTGAATAGTCTGCCAAACCACAAAGGCCAGCTGTCAGGAGGGACAAATGTTGTCTCATTATCTGCTCTGTTGAAATGCATTTGCTGGTCAAAGTCCTGTGGGCACGTCCCCAAGGCTATGTCCTCCCTTTTCTGCGGCACAGTGTGGGTTCACTTAATGGCAGCTTCCATACACTTCAGATTTTCTTCTGATTGAAAATTTGGAAGATGCAAATCAATTTAAAAATTGTTCTACCCCTGGGTAAAATAAAGCGACTGTGATGAAACTATTTCTGGCTTATTCTTTCTATCCCATTGAACTCAGCACCATTTTCTACCCCATGCACCCCAAGGACCCCCTGACTTGCAAAGGATCTATTTCCCAAAGGGGATTGAATTGTAAATGAAGGGGCCTTGGAATCAAGGCTGTGCAGTAAGTCACTGCCTGATACTGTGCAAAAGCAGCTCTCTGAAACTCAGTGTCTCCCTTTGCAAAACGCAAATGATATTGCCACCTCCTGGGTGTGGGGCCGTTTCGAGATTATATGACAGCCAATGGACAAAGCTCTAGGCACGCCGAAAGTACTCAATAGCAGTTTTTTCCCCTTTCTATCAAGCCTGGGGGTAATGAGGCCCAGTTCATTTCTTAATTCCTCTTCCAGAAAGATAACAGAGGGAAATTAAGAACTATATTCAAAAAGTATAGTATTCTCACTTATTAAGGGTTTATGAAGTGATAGAATATTACATGCTTTGTAACACTGGCTCCTGACAAAGGCATGGGGAGGGGTGTGTGTAAAGGAGGTAGGGGTGACATTTTGGATCAGCCTAATGCCTGGTGGAGGAGTGCTGCTGGAGTTTAGCTGGGGAACAGCCGGGCTCCCGAAAGCTCTTGAAACACTCAGAAGAGTCACATTCAATGAAGAGTGGTCCTGCCCAGGTACTGGTAGTGCCCTTGTTGAGAAACACTGGCTTTGTCTTATTTAATTTAATCCTTAGGAGAACCTCAAAGCACAGGGATTATCAGCCCTACTGTACACAGGGGGCAACAGATGCAGTGTTAGGACAAGCCACCTGGTGAGAGCAGGAGCAAGGCGCAGACTCCAGACGAGAGCTCCTAAGCACCCTTTTCAGAGGACGGCTTCTAGTAAATTTGCTACAGCATCATTGTCATCGTGCTTTGGGTTGTATTGTTTCATTTGCTTGCCTAACTGCCAGGAATATTTGGGGTTCTTCTCTCAAACTTCTTCAGGGCCAAGTTTTCCATAAAAGGCGATTGAAAACCTGAAGTCCCTCCTTTAAGACTCAGAGGGAGTACATGGTTGCATTTCTTCTTCAGGGACTTACTTCTCCTATCCTTACCACCAAAGCCAGGAGCACGCACACACACACACATACACACACACACA